CAACCTATGGAAATCTGAGAAACTATGAAAGCAGTACTAAGAGGAAAATTCATTGCATGGAGTTTATTCCTTCAAAGAAAAAAAAATGACCTCACACTACCTCTCAAAGCCCTAGAAAAAGAAGAACAAACCACCAGCAAAACAGTAGAAGGCAAGAAATAATTAAAATTAGAGCTAAAATCAATAAAATTGAAACAAAAAAAAACAAATGACAAAATGGACAAGAAAAGTTGGTTCTTCGAAAACATAAATAAAATTAACAGACCCTTAGCCATGCTAACATAGAAAATGAGAGAGAGAGAAAGAGAGAGAGAGAGAGAGAGAGAGAGAGAGAACTCAAAATTACCAGTATATGTGACGAAAATGGTAATATCACAACAGATATGACAGAAATACAGAGGATAATTAGAAATTATTTTGAAATCCTAATCTCCAATAAAATAGAAGACATTAAAGTTATCAACAAATTTCTTAAGTCATACTATCTGCCAAGATTGAATCAGAAAGACATACACAATTGAAATAGACCAATATCAAGTGATAAAATAGAAAACAATGCTTATCAACCAAGAAAAACCCAGGATACACAGCTGACTTCTAAAAGACCTTTAAAGAAGAACTAATACTAATACTCTTTAATTTATTTCAGGAAATAGAAAAAAAGGCAGCACTTCCAAACTCATTCTATGAGGCCAATATCACCCTGATCCCCAAACCAGGCAAAGTCACATAAAAGAAAGAAAACTTCTCTAATGAACATAGATGCAAAAATCCTCAATAAAATTTTGGCAAATCAAATACAAAAATATATCAAAAAGATTGTGCACCATAATCAAGTGTGATTCATCCCAGGAATTCAAGGTTGGTTCAATATACAGAAATCAATAAATGTAATTCATCAAATCAATAGATGAGGGCATGATGTAACATGTGGGGCATGTTGCATCAGAAAGGAAGAAACCTAACTTGATGTAGTGCATGCAACATGTAGGGCATATTGCATCAGAAAAGAGGAAACCTAACTTGCTGGCTACTACCCCCTTCCCAGTCCCGGTCCACATGTGGCTAAGATAGTGCCTGGCAATCATATAGAAGGCATTACAGTGGGTTGTGATGAAAAATTGGACCACCTCTAGGATAGGCTCAGAAAGCTTCTAACCTCATGGACAGCTTGTGTCACCCATTACTGCCTGTAGGATGGGTGTACATGTAAACTCTCCCCACTCTGCTGACCTTTATCCTGACTCATTTCTGTATATTATATTAGCTGTGTCCCTGACACATCTGATTGTCCTCTGGCGAGGGAGTGCTGGGTGCAGACGGTCAGTAGGCCCTGTCCTTTCTTGGCTCATCCTGGTTGGGGCGTGCTCTCCCCATTTCTCCTGAGGTCAGGAGGGAATGATACTGAAAACCCCCGACAAATAGACTTAAAGATAAGAATCATATGACCATCTCAATAGATGCAGAAAAAGCATTTGACAAAATACAGTGCCACTTTATGTTCAAAACACTAGAAAAAAAAA